CTCAGCGCGGGCGGCGCCTTCCAGCGGACAGGGACCCGCCGCCGCCGCCCCAGGGTTAGCAAAAGGCTTCCCCATCCGAGCACCTCAGAGGATGCTCTGTGAGAAAGCTCATTACACACCATCATTCAGTGTAAGAGTTCTGAAAATGAAGACCTGAACAGTGTAAAACACTGGCAATGGGCTTTGTCCTAGAGAGGCAAATAACAAACAAACAAAATCTAAAGATATGTAAAACGATTCAAAGACAACTGTAAGAACAACTGTTTTTAAAGGCTCTTGTTAATCAGGAAAAAAAAAAAAAGATTACTTTTACAGAGGAACTTCTATTTATGACTGAATGGAAGACAGGACCACTCCAAAGATAAAAGATATTGAAGCAAGTTGTATGTACAAGGTGAAAAAAGGGTCAGTGAAAGCAAGAAATTATATGGAGAGTTGACTCAACCAAACAGCCAAGTTAATGAACATTATCAGAAGTGGTACATGCAAAAACCATGAAAATACACCAAACTTCCAAACTGTGGCATCACTTCAGAAGTCGTCATGTTTTTGAAAAAGCAAATAGAAAGAAACACTATTACAAGTTACCTACCACCTGTCCTGGCCATACTGAATTAGTGCAAACAATCAGTGTTTCATTTGCAACTGTAAAATCTCCAGCAGCCCAGGAAAACAAAACAAAAATATAACCATGCTGCATGAGAGCAAATGCACACAGATGCGAAGTCAGAAAGTGGTAGGTAAGCTCAGTGAAACTGCAGACAAGATGAGCATGACAATTGCAGAACAGCCAGAAGAAACTGTAAAGCTGCAAGGTGGACACTCGAAAAGGACTAGGAATAACTGGTTACTCTTCTTTCAGTGCCCAAGGAAAGAAGACACACTATGAAGTATAAGAAGACTAAGATAACTTTATAAATCTGACTGAGAACAGGAAAAGCAACACAAATGTAAGATAAATCATGGCATGGTGTTTAGGCAATCATTAACTTAATCAATTTAAAAAACATTGCCATAGATCACAGAGCTAGAGAACAGCAGTTCTTCCAAAGTATGTTAATGTCATCCTAATTACTCACAGATAACCTAAACACAATGCACAATTTAACAGCAAGTTATAAAGTGCACCTTGCTATTTGGCTTTTGGAATGGACACGAATCTATTAAAAAAATACTTGGATCTCCCCATTCTTTCAGAAGAGACAAGATACACGCTCACAATACATGCATCTTCACATTCCCACAGCTTTCTATCTAGCTAATTAAAGTACCCTACTTCACCTAGAACTGGTACCCTGATTTCACAGCTGTGTATTTCTTTTTATAAAAATTACTTTTTAAATTCCTAGGCTGTAAATAACAGAGACCCTTTTCTGTAACAACAGAATTGGAACTAGGTGGGGACAGAAGTTGCTTCCACATAGCAGCACAAATCAGATACTAATTTCAAAGATTCAGATTAAAAGGTTTAGGAGTATCAATTATCTCATCCATATACTCCTCTTGCTCTTCATCACACCATCAGTTCTGAAGTTTCTAGATTCTTCTAAAAGTATGCTCACTTCAATGTTGGAATAACTCCACCTATCTTTAGTTGCTTCACAGCATCTACAAAGGCTTACAATCCACTCTGTATAACAAACGTTTATTCAGAAACAGATAATACATTATCTTCTCCAACCCCTAATGTTTGCGCCCCCTCCCCCATTTTTTTTTTAATAAAACACAGGTGTTTGATGGATGATCTAAAAAAGGAGAACAATAGCTGTCTTAGGTCCCCTCCCGTACAAACATCTGTTGTTCACATTAAAACACCCTACCAATAATGGTGGCATTGGCTTCCAAACCGAAGGGAGTACTCCAGAAAATCAAGTCCTGCCAAGTCCTCAGTTATTTCCATAGCTAAAAGGGATACAGTGAGATAGAGGAATGGCGTGCACGAGCTAGACAGAGCAAAGAATTAATACAGAACAAGAAAGCAAAAGAAACAGGGTTAACCAAGAAATGGAATCTGGACCTACAACAGTTACAGAGTTCATTAAAGTTCAGCAGAGCTGAACAAATGGATTAGGTTAGTCTCCTAGCTAGAAAGATCAAGTTCAAACCCCAAGCAGATTCTGGAAGTGGCTCTTAGCTTTCCTCTCTTGTAATACAATCTGAACAAATACAAACGAATGGAGCTGCCGGGACTTCAAATACCCACGTCAATAACGCTGTACTAACAAAGGAAGTGTTATAAGTGCCACCTAGTGGCCTGTGGCTCGTCACAGCTGCTCACTGGCCCAAGGTGCATCCTTGTTGCTCTGCACTGGAGCTTAACATTCACAGGGTGCTAACTGCTCTCTTCTCCCTGAAGGCAGGAAGTGCAGCAATCATCCTCCAGATCCCTGCATGCAAGCAGCATGCCCGCGCAGCAGCCAAACATTGCCCAAACGAGCTCTCAGGCACAAGAAATAGCTGCTTCCTATGTATTAGTATCTGACAAAAAGCCCCAGCTCCTTCCTTTTTATAGGACACTGTGTAAGTTAGGATAAAAAGATAAATGTCCCTGCATCAACAGGAGGATGCAATAGTCTAACAGGAGTGAAACAGCTGGATTTCCTCTGGCTCTGAACCCAACACTGGTTCTCATTTTTCAGACCAGAAAGGAGAGCAACTGAGCCTGACCCTTCAGGACCAATACATTCATCATACAAATGACAGAGCTTCCCCCCCCACACCCCCCCTCTCTGCATTACCAGAGCTGAAGCATCCCTCCTGTAGCACAATGGGTGGTGCACTTCTGCATATGTCTTTTCTGCCTGATGCTTCTGCTGGCTGGTATACACAGTGGGAAGCTCAATTTCTCACTCTTCTCAATGTTACAGCTCATAAAGCAGAACAACATCCAACAGCCAGAATGAAGTAGTATGCCACTGAATGCATACGAAACAAAGATGCAAAATGGTGCTTCCTGTATGGAGCCATAACCTGATTTTGTACCCAGCACAGCAATTTCAGAAACACTATGGTGTTCTTGCCTGTTGATAATCAAGGGGATGTACCTTTTAGTTAAAGGTCAGTCAGAAGAAAAGAGAAGGAGATCACCACTCCTTCCCTCAAAGTCTATGTGCACTTTTAATGGCCACTAGGGGATTTGGAGTAAACAAGGGAGTTACATGGTATATGCTTGGTAATACATAACTGGCAGAAGGGGGAGGTTATTCTTTCAGAAAAAAATCATGGAAGAAAACTCCAACTATGGAAACAGAAAGTACACACACAAGAGGAAACACTATTGTACAGTAAGTTAGTGATCATAGAAAACAAAAAATTTCAAGGCAGGCAAATGCAAACATCTGCATTCCCGCCCTTTTCTCATTCTCCAACTTAATGAGTTTTCCAGTCCACAGCTTGCTCTCCCTTCTCAGAGTTTAATTTTGAATTCTGTGGGCTGCACGGAGGCAGAGACCCCTGAAGATTTGAAGAGGGCCTTCAAGATAGTGTCAGGGTCCACTTCAGCTGGGGGATTTGATGAGGCGCTTGCACTTGACCGGCGTGGTTCCCCTTCTTTCTTCACTGAAGGGGTATCACTCAATCGGCTAGAGGATTAAAACATAGTACTTAACCTCTCATTATGAAATAAAATTTAAGACTAGTATGCATTTACTGTTATCAGTGTTATCCCCTTAACAGTATTAGATATAAAGGTTTTAAATATGCTTTCCTCACAAGAAAACTTCATCTCAGACTCATTCCGAACCTCAGGGCTGGGAACACTATGGAGTCAAGCTATAGTGCACCCAGCTCAACATCAAGTGCACCACAGAGAGGGAGGAGAATGAAAATATTAATGGGACAACAACAATTTGCCAAGTTTCCCTCCCCTCAGGTTCTCCTCAAAACCAAACCTGCAAACCTGTTCAGTTCTTCCCCCCATGTAAATATAGTCATCTTACAGCAATATAGGCTGGTCTGAGGTGATGACATTCCCATTCATATGGAGATTGCATTTCATTGGTTGACCTAAACAAAAGCACAATAAAAGAAGTCCTATCAGAATTGTGGTAAGGCAAGACCCCAGGAGTATCACACAACAGCGCCATCAATAGTTCCACATGCTGGACAAACATGAGAAAGAACCGCTGATACATCTTTTGTTGAAAAAAACAGCAGCAACCGAAGAGCCACTGAAACAGTCAGTACAATATGAAGAATCACGTTAATGAAGAATTTACATATAAGTACAAAACCCTTAGCAGAGACAGAAGAGAATCTTCCATTCTCAGCTGTCTGCTCATCTGACATTCACATCATGTCACTCATCTAGAGATGGAAAAAGCAACTATTTCCAGCTAAAAATTAACATCAAATTTTAGTCAACATCATCACCGCAGGTGGATCCAAATTAAACATTACATCATTCAGAGTTTATGGATAAGCTGATACTAATTGTATTACAAGTCCAATTCAAAATGTCTGCCTACGCCCTGAGACTTTTGCAAATATTAGTTTTACTTGTACTTTGCAAACTGCTACTCTGTAAGCAGGTAAAGCCTTCCTAAGGGCTATCTAGTTCCCAGCACTGGATTAGAAACAACAGAAATTTGATCTGAAAGTTAGACCAGCAGACTCACTAGGACCCTGCCTCTACCTTTGAACATTCTGTTTCTAGGAAAACATTTTTTTGAATTTTACTTACATCAACTGTGCATATATTCAGCTAGTTACATAGGAGCCTATTACATTGTCTAGCTCTTGAATGGATTTTCTGGCATTTCTTCTCTCTTGGAGAAGAAAGCATCTGCGATGCTCTTAAACTCTCTACTGAGGTGGAAAAGTGGCAATTATCTATCCTAAATGCAACTCTGGCCTCAAACTTACCATCTAAGCACCTGTTGTTGTATTTCTTATACGCTGTGATAGCATCATCTTTCTTCACAAATACTACCTCAGCAACTCCAGGGTGCACCAGCCGGGCTCGCTTCAGAGCGCCACACACACAGAATAACTCCTGAGGACAGAGATCTTTTTAGTCATGACCACAGTCACATAAAAGGTATCACTTCAACCAAAGATGGTGAGTGAGAAAGGCTTAGTTTGCTAAGTGCATCACCCATCCTGCTTAGTAAACACATGGCAGAATTTTGACACTTGTCTCACTGTGTTTGCTACGGTATGAGTACCTGGCATTAGTAATACAGGTTGTATGAGCAGAAAAATTTGAGGTCAGTACTCTATACCATCTGTCACACATTAAGACCAGGTTCATTCTCAGCCTGCAGAGAATGGAAGCACCTAGATAGTTTGGATGGGGGCATAAATTCAAGAACACTAAGCATCATTTGGCATGAACTCTTCTAAATGATGTCAGGTATCTCAATACACCCCAGAAACGGGATTCTGTCCCATCCTCTTAAGCACACCTTTTTTTAAAAAAAGTGAACAAACCCCAAGACAATCAGGAACCCTCAAAGCTTTTGCAAGGAAAGCAAAACCACATCATACCCCTCTTCACTGCATTCACCACAGATCAACTGATTTATCAAAAAAGAGGTAGGATAAGGGAAGGAAGTGTCATTCATCCACAATTCAGCAGTAAGCAACACTCACAACAATGTCTTCCTCTGTGACTCGAGGATGCAGATTGTTTACAGTCATCTTTGTGCCTTCCAAAGGACTGAATGCCAGCTGCCAACACAAACACATGCATCACAAAAAAAGGTCAGAAATGCAGCATAGCAGAGCAAGAATTAAAAAGTCACTAAAGGGATGTCTGGGAAAGTCTGCACACACACACAAAGGAGCTACACAGCTAGTAATAGGAAGTATCAATGTTTACAAAAGCTCAACTCACCTGATGGTGAAAAGGAGCCCCTTTCCATTCTAACTTCTCTCTGAAGTAACTGTTCTCTTTCATTCCCAAGTACAACGCTAACTTAACCCACACACTACACAGTACCCTCTGGTCATGCCCACAGTTTTAAGCATGTATCTCTGCTGCACTCTACACCAGTCAGCAAACCCCAAAATACAGCTCCAGCCCCTCAGGAGTATGCTGAACTTAACGTGCCTGGGAACAGCTGGTGGGTTACCTGTACCACATCCTTGTTTCCAACTCCCCATGTCCTGCCAGTGTGCGGGTATTCAAGAAGCTGGGACGGAGCAGAGCCAGAGCACCAGACCCAAACTGGCCAGTTAAATATTCTATATCATATAATGTCATGCTCAATACATAGAGGAGGGTTGGCCAGGAAGAGAGGGAACTCCTTGCTTCGAGGACTGTGGTTTCAGGATCTTAGCTTCTCTGGGATCAGAGTGAGTATTAGTCACCAGGTGGTGAGCAATTGCATTGCACATTACCCATTTGTACCTTCTATTATTGTTGTTATTGTTTTATTTCAATTAAACTGTTTTTATCTCAACCTGCAAGTCTTCCTACCTTTATCCCTCCACATTCTCACCCATCCCCCAGGTTGGGGGGATGGTGAATGAGCAGCCATGTGGTGTTTGGTTGTCGGTTGGGTTTAAACCATGACAACCCAACATCAGGCAACTTTGCAAAGGAATTCCAGGTAGGTTGTCTACAAATTGCCTGAGAGGTCTTGTGTGTACAGCAAGAAAATGTATTTGGAAGAACCCCATTTTTCTCCTTGCTAACAGGAGTAGACAGAAAACAACATATCTAATAGTGTTAAAACACTATTCCTAAGGACATGGAAGCCACCAAGTGAGTGTCTGAACAACTGCCACCTCCCTGTAACATGGATTCCTCCAGGACCATGTGTTCACATGCTAGAGAAAAAAAAAAAAAAAAAGAAAAAAAAAAAGAAAAAAGAGAGAGAAGCAAGATGCATTATCTGAGAATTCCTAGTGTCTCAAACTCTGACGAAAAGAATATTTAGACAGATTTTAAATTCTTGGGTCATGGGTTGCAGTTATCAGAACAAGCTTGATGGAGTCCCAGAAATAATGGTGGAAGGCAGGCAGAAACAAGCTGCTCACATGACAAATAAACAGCAAGTTTCAGAGACTCCTATGAAGAGCATCTCCTACTTCCCTGGGCTCACCTCAACAGGTGCTGGTTCTTTTGGAGGCTCCTCCTTTGTCACTAAGGTCCGGGACATGTTTGTCAAGGCCTTCGTCCGCATAGGAGAGGGAGGTGCAGGTGGAGCTGTGTATGTATCATTCTGGACGACTTTAGTCAGGGGAACAGTCTTGGACAGAGAAAATTTATTGCCACTCAGCCCAGTCTACAGGAAGAAAGAAAAAAGTATCTCTGAGAGCTGAAGGTTACAAGAAGTCATCCCTGTTTTTCAAGAATCTACAGTAGGAGAGTATTACCAGCATGCACTAAGAACTGCATATCCTTCCTGGTGTCAAAGCCACTACAGTGCTGGAGACTTTCAGCTTTGAGACAAAAATCAACTAAAGTTTCTAGGCATAAACATAAAAAGATATGTTTATCCCAGAAGAGCACTTCCCTCACTAACAAGCACTTTTTAATTTCATATTCTTCTTAAATGAACTTTATCAGTGCACTTTTGAATTTGAAAAGCTCCTTTCATTCAAAGATTTTCAAGTACTTTACAAGTGTTCACAGAGATTGCTCAATAACGGTAAGATTGATCTGCCCTGGTACAAACAGCAATACTTCTTCAGAAACACCAAGCTAGGGCACACAAAGACATGCAGTGTAACCTTTCTAGTTGGAACTACCTGAGTGTAAAGCCAGACTAAAATTGTGCTTGGTAGCTTCTGTGAACACTGGCAATAACATATTTACTCCTGCAGAAGAAAAAAACAACCCATAAGGCTGCTTTTATGGATCACAAATGGGCAGGAACTCTAATCTGAATACCCACAAGAAAAAAACATGAGATAATCATTGCACTAGACTGCCTGTGTGATGGTAAAACCCCATAAATTTATGTTTTCAGAACCACAGAATAATTTGGGGTAAACCTATGTCCAATTCCCATGTCTGCAACAAGACTAACTTCAAAGACGCATCAGGTTGGCCCAGGGTCTTATCCAGTTAAACTCTGAATATCTAAGAATGGCAATTTCAAAACCTCTCTGGGTCCATGTGCCAGCTGCTGATCACTACCCTGAGAATTGCACAACTTCCCCTCCACCAACTAGAAATTCTTTTGCTGCAACACACTGGTTGGCTCACCTTTTCCCTGTTCACTCCTAAAAAGGGCCTGGGTTTTGCCTTTTCTATGACCACATATTAGGCAGTGAGAGAGGACAGATCTCACTACAGCCTTCTCAGCCTTAAGAGACACCACTCTCACCCTCTCCTCATACATCACGTGCTGCAGTCCTCTGACCACCCCGCTGTACTAGTTCCAGTCTGTCAGTGTCTTTCTTGTACTGCAGAGGCCCAAAATAGGCACAGAACTCCAGGTGCATTCTCAAAATGCTAAACAGATGGGAATAATTATCTTCCTTGATTTGCTGGCTATGATCTTACTAAGATACAATCTACAGTTGGCCACCACTGCTGGAAGGATGCACTGCTAACTCAGTATATCACTCAACAAGACCCCCAGGCTCTTTCCTACAAAGATGACTTGTAGCCAGTCAGTTCTCGATTAAGTTGGAGAGTTATCCCATCCCAAGAGCAGGACCTCACATTTGTGTGTTGAAATGGCATTTTCTCCTGATCATCAGTATTCCCTAACAAGCCGCCAACTAAGATTTTGCATGGCAAGAGATTTCCAGCTTTTCATGTCCAGTCTCTAGAAAGAGCAGAAAGCTTCCCTTGCTTGCATGCTCGAACAATAATGAGATAGATTCAAAGCACTTCCCCAACAAGAAAGAAAGTGAAGAGCTAACAGGCAGCAATCTGCGAGCAAGGGAGAAAGCACACATTCTGGCTACAAGAGGCCTATAAAACCACCATTAGCCTGAAAGGACTGTGTCCCAAAAACAACACTAGGAACACTGGCACAAAGGGAAGGGTGAAGAGCAAACATTTCAGGAGAAAGCATCGTTTACATACTTTAAAAGAACATAAGCCCTGTAAAGCCGCAGCCTGTGTGTCCACCCAATGTGAGCATGGCCTGGTGGGGACGGTTCAGATAATCCCTTACCGCGTTGTGCAGGAAACTGTTTGTGGTGGTGATTTTCATCTGTTTGCTAGTAAGGGGAGAGACACTTTCATCATCATCTTCCATGTCATACAGACCCTGAAGAGAAGCAAGGTTATAGTTTACAAGCAGGTAGATTTAATCTAGACATCTCCAAAACAAGTAGTTTTCTCCAGTCTTCAGCCTTCTTCAGGTAATGAACACAACTACATTCGACTTCACTCCTGTCCTTGCAGCTTGTGGACAGAGCTGAAGGTACACAAGCCCATTTCAAAACATCAGTGTAAAAAAAAAAATAAAATTAAAAAAAATATATCAAACTTTTTTCCCAGAAATGCCACAGGAAAGCTGTTTCCCTAGGTGTACTGAAACCACATACATATTTCTCTAATCCCTAGACCTCATCAGGACTGATGAAGCCACATTAATGGAATAAAGTCTTATTTCTTAGCACCCTGCTACCTTTGAAGTTGAAGGCTGTGCATATGATTTTTTAAATTTTTTTTAATTAAGCAGATGCCTGCCAAATACATCTGAATCAAGCATTCCTTCTGAATAGCCTGCTTTCCTCAGCACAGCACATAACCGTCTGGCACTAGAAAACACTGCACTTGGAGGTTTACTGAATGAATAATTAATTTCCCAGTACAAAATAACACTCATAGCCCTGCCTTAAAATACTGAGGCAAACTCCTACACAAATATTTTTTCACAGACTCTAAATAATGTTAAGAAAGTCTGTACACATATGGCACTGCCCAGAACATAAGAAGCCACAACTCAAAACAGCTTCCCATTAATTCAGTAGAAAGGTAAAGAAAAATGGAGGGATTAGCAATGATAGTTTGCAAAATAAGTGGGTTTTCATAGTCAGCAAGATTCTGGTTTACAAACAGAAAAGTTGTTCCAGTCACAGAATTGCTATGAAGAAAATAAACAAAAGGATGGTAGAACAGAGGAGAATTGTGCAGAAAAGGAAAGAACCAGGAAAAACGCTAGCCATCAGAACAATGAACTTGAGCTTGAGACAAATGAAATTGATTCGAGGCTTATAGTGATGAGGTCAGAATTATGAAGACACTTCCTTAAGCAACAACATTTGGGATAGGTGAGAGCAGCAGGTCAATGTAGAGGTAACATACACAAATGGCTAAAGTTATCATAATCAAGGCCAAAAAAAAAACAGGACATGATATTCTGAAAATCAGTTTTCCAATATTTCATGTGATACTTTATGCGTACACACACACAAAATAAGTAAATGTGTAATTCCTCTTGAAAAGCACCCAAGGTGGCTGAATGGCTGGGGGCTGTGACAAAAACCTTTAAAATTGATCACAGAAGAGACAGCACAAATTCTAGGGTCTTCCTCAAAGCCTGTTTGACAAGGGATATGGCAACTTTGAGAGTACATCAGAATACCACTTCACATCGTATGCTATCAGGTTTCCAGCAGGGACCCACAGCTGGGATCTCACAGGAAGGTTACACCCTCTCCCACATCACCATAGAACATTTGACCATGTACAACCATGCCGTTCTCTGAAAAGGCCGGCAGAATGGCAAACCAAAAACAACTTCATGTGATGCATCACTCAGAAATTTACAGAAAGACATCATCAGACCTAAAGGTCACAGCATCCAAAAAAAACCCCAACACATTAGCGCATAGATTAAAACTGGGAATGCCTACTTCACACTCACGTAACACACAAGGAACCAAGACCAGACTAAATGAAAACTTCAGTTACCATGAAAGTATCTTAACCACTCAAGAATAGGGAGCTAAGATGCTGGAGAACCTCCACTCTTCCATCCTAAAGTTATCTCTGCACCTGCAATGTTTATGTACACCTTCCTTCCCCCCTAAAGGTAACAAAAAAAGAGCACAGAGCAGGCACACACCTGTTTGTGTGTATGGTTGTTCACCACATTGATCCTCATTCCTGCTGGATGAGAATGTCCAGGAACTGGAGCCTTCTGCTACAGTTAGAGAGAAAGAACCAAAGCGTTAAACACTACAGTCCACCAGTTCCCCATTTCAGAAGATCAGAGCTGTTAATTGATACCCTGAGACTTAAATGAAACTCACTCTCCTGCTCTTGAAATATATTAACACAATATGCTGTTAGATAACATCTGTGTTTTCTGTAATATGTTCAATATGAGATAACTTCACTTAATCAAAGAAATTAAAACCAAAGGCCACGCAGAGAAACTAATTCAAGTTACTTGAGTTTTAGTCAAAGATTAGTGGGAAGGGAACTTAACTCCAGCCCTGCCAGCACTGACTGGATCTATACTTCTGCCAATACAAAACCATGGATGAGGTAAAACAGTAAATAAGCCTACCTTTTCATGCTACAGGGAACCAAAGATACCTATTTCCATCAAACTCAACACGCTAGGACACAACACAGTTTAGTTCAATACAGTTTCAAAGGACAAGTATATACTGACCCTTCACACTAGAGCTGGAATAAATTATAGTGCAATAAAATTATGCACAGGGTAATGTAGCTGACCTTCTGGAGCCTGTTGTCCTGTGAAACAGGGAAACCCCAACAGAAGCAGCCAGGGAATGCAGCTGTACTAATCAACTGAAATCAAGCAGCAACTGCCTCAAAAATGCCCTTTTGGTTTTTGAAAAAGCTGGAAGTTGTCCATTACAGAAAATAGATCATACAAAAATACTCCATCCAAGCAATAAAATCTTCAGATTTGCATTTTCTCTAGACTGTAATGTACACCACAGCACCCTCGCATTTCAGTTTGCTAATCAGTCAGAAACAAGGGTAGAAACAGATGTCCTATGGAACACCAGCAGAGCTATGGAAATTCTGTGGGTTTCAAAGACTTTTTTCCTTCCTTTATGAGAAACAAGGCCACAGAACAGGACATTAGAGCTCTGTGCTGCAACTCAGATCCAGATACTTTAGTCTAATTCTGCTCTCACATTTGGGAAGAGAGGAGGGCCATGGGCAATTTAAAATTTTGGTATAAATCTTTTTAAAAAAATCAGGTAATTGCTCATGTGTATGGTTTTGTCTACAGTCAATCACTGTTACATTCTACAATATTTTTTCTTGCACTCTGTTGTCTAAAAACCAGAAAATACTATAGGTCAAACCAAGTCATAAAAAAAAAAAATCAGGTCAGAGCAAACTGCTATTGTACGAAGTCTCTGGAAACTATTTTAACTTCTAGAAACTTTGTAGAAAATGTTTAACTCCTAATGGTGGCGATGTGGCTTAGAAGGACAGCATGAGTTTTAATTACCCTACTAATTAAAGACTCCTGGAACAGACCACTCTATTGCTCTGTGATTAGCCCTTCTTATTGCCACAAGAGTCTTTTCTCTTTCTTAGGTCAGCCTGGCAGCAAACCTGCAGAGTTAACAGGAAATTTTCTAGGTTAATTTACAGCAGAAATGTTTGATACTCTTGAGCAAAATGTACAGCTCTACAGAAAGCAAGATTCATCTAGGCTTTCAAACTGATGAGAACGGAGATTTTCTGGGTATGTGTAAGCATCCTCTTTGGAAGGAGGAAAATGAAAGAGGTAAGCTAGGAACTTCAGTTACATGCTTGCAGATGCGAGGAACAAAACGCCTCCTCAAACAATCCCAACAGTCTGGAAACTTCTGACTCTACCTACTGTACCCAACACGCACACACAAGTTCAACAGTAGTTGCTTCTCAGAAAATTTTGCTAAGAATGAAGTTACTGTGCACACAAAGTGAAATTAGAAAATTGTCAAAAGAAATCAGTGGGTTAGGGTGATCAACTGATTATACTGCAACTGAAATAAATCTTGAGCCTCAGCAGGAATGCATCATGTAATCAAGCAACTCCCTGGAAGCCAGGGCTTTCCTGAAAACCAGACAAGTAGAAATAATGAAATTGTAGAAGGGCTCAATGAATTTTTAGATCTACTTAGATACAAGCATAGCTGTATACCCTAAACTGTTATCCAGACAGGACAATCCGCATCAGACTTGCAGAGAGGGGTGGTATAAGAACTGACAAAATGCATACATTTTCTCTGTATTCAGGTGGGAAAGAGACTACTTAACCATTCAGGACAACTACTTTAACGTTGACTGGAACGTTGTTAGTCTTTACTGGGCCCAAAATTCAAATGACAATTTAAATGAAAGCTGGGATTCTACAAAAAGCCTGAAGCAGCTGCAAGGACACCCCAAAGGCTCTGAATCCTGCCCTACAGGCTAGACTGAACTGTATCACCATGGCTTCTTTTGCAAACATATTCATGTATTATCATTTCTACTGGACTGCTGTAGAATAACTGAGACACTCAGAGGTCGCTTGCTTGACCTACTTGGATAGTTTTGGTGATTTTCACAGCTGGATTTACTGTCCCCACAGTTGGGCTAATAGCAGCTGGAGTGCTCCGTTTTAAGCTGATCTTCTCTCTGGCATCCACCACTTTGGTCACCTTTTCAGCAGCAACACTTTGCTGCTTACGGGAATTCAACATCTCTCGAGCATCCTGCACCTTCCCTTTGATTTTGAACCGAGCGTCCTTTTGAACCAGTTTTTCACGAGCATCTTTAACCCCCAGTTTGTGTCGGGCATCAGTGAGTCCTATCTTCTGTCGGGCATCAAATGTCCGCTGGAAGCTGACAGCTGGTGATGATCTACTTAGAAGATTTTGCTGGATCCCAATGCGAGATCTTACACCTCCAAACACCGGCCTTGTGTTAAGTCTGGGAAGAAAAAAGAGTTTCAGACATAAGATGTGATACAGTATCACTAAAAGTATTTGCGTTGCTGCAAACAAAATTATTACTGCACAGAAATCCACTCAGGTTAGACATCCAAATACAAAGTAAAGCTCCTAAACTATTTTATGCTGGATTTTACTTTCTACGTGCCCTGGTTTCCATCATTGTTTGAGTCCAGAGTGTAACTGAGCACCTGGAAGCCCCTTGCTTGCACCTTCCCCCTCAGGAATGGGAAAATAAAACAAAAAGCTCACGAATCGAGATAAGAGCAGGGAAGGATGACTAACCCGTTACAGTCAAGGGCAAAAGACAGACTCATTAGGGAAAGAAAAAGAACATCAATTTAATTCAGACACTAACACCACCACCACTTAATGGAGTAGGTCAGTGAGAAGCATTAGCACTTCTTAAAAACACCTCCCCCCATTCCTCCCTTCTTCGAGGGCTCAGTTTTGCTCCTGATTTCTCTACCTCTTCTCCCTCAGTGGCACAGGGGGCAGGGGATGTTGGGGTGCAATCAGTCCCTCCGCTCCTTCCCCATCAGGGGGCAGACTCCATGCACTCTTCCTCTGTTCCAGTGTGGAGTCCCTCTCACAGGAGACAGTCTTCCATGACCTTTCTCTATCATGAGTCCTTCCCAGTCTGCTCTGGTGTGGGTCCATCTGACACGTTGCAGCCCTCCCTGCATCTAAGTACAACGCGTGGGGGCGGGGAGGCTTCTTCCCACAGAGTCCTGGCCTTCTTTAGGCACTGCCACCTGCTCCACTGTGGGGTCCTCCATGGTCTGCAGGTGGGCATCTGCTCTGGCACATCATCCCCCCTCTTCCTCCTCCTTTTTTCCACTGACCTCAGTGTTTGCACAGATGTCTTCTTCACAGCTCCAACTCCTCCTCCCAGGTTTCCCTTCTTAAATACATTATCACAGAAGCAGAGTCATCATTGCTAATTGGCTCAGCCTCAACCAGAGGTGGATCTGACTTGGAGTCAGGGGAGCTTTGAGAAGCTTCTCACAGGGGGCCACAAGAGTAGCCCCCTCCCCCACTACACACACAGACTCAGCACATTACATATACAGCTAAGGATCTGATTTCCAAAATCCATCCTTAAACTCACATTTACAGACTTAAGTAAAGGATCTCACATTATCTGTGTGAAATGCTGGGGTTTCAACCCCAAGCCCCAAATTAAGGTTGACATATAGGTAATTCCCACAGCCCTTCACAAAGGGGCGGTGAGTTTGCCTTTAAGTTTCCCTCCAGGGTGCGGCCCTTGCAGGGAGAGCCATTGGGTAAATGAGCCCCAGGTGTCCCAAATTAAGTAACCAAAGGTCAGGTGTCCCACTTGGGGATAAAAGCTGAGACCACTTACAGGAAGGGGTGGTGTCTGTCTGTGAGGTGGATACACTTTGCAGTTTCCTGTTGGGGAAGGACCTCCTGCCTCCCTGGAACTAGACTCTACTCAGGTCTGGCTTTTGTAAACATGGGCTGTGTAGAAATTCAGTGTGTGGCTTCCTGGGTCTTATGTGTTTGGTTTGTTGACTTGGTTGTCTCCTGTCCCTTCTATGGGAAACTGCATTTCACCATTTTTTTCCACCTGTTGTTGGTCGTGTGGTGTCATTGTTGGGGTCAGTGGGACTGATGTCAATTATGTATATTCTGACTTGTTTGTACCCCTAGGGCTCCCGCATGTACTGACCCTTTTGTATCAAATACAATTTGGTTATTGGTTCATCTTTGTGCTGGCTGTGTCCTTTATGCTAGGCCTAATAATTGGCAAAACACTGTGTTAAGTACATACTACATTTAAACAAAATTCATCAACAAAGAGGAACAGAAACAGACCTTCTAGCTTTATGACTGAGCAGGTCTCCTAAAGCTTCTTTTGTAATACAGTAACATGTTCTGATAGAAAGGAAGCCTGGACCTACATACGATTCCAAGAATTCCAGGCAGCAATTTCAGATCTGTGGGAGTACCTAGGCTTGGACTTTAGGATGCACAAGCACTAGTACTAATCTCAGTTCAAAGCCACCAGTTTCAAAGTTGACTAACTTTCATCAAGAATACTATCAGTCAAATTACTTTTTAACATCACTGCCTATTATTTAATCTACTAATAGAACTGCTACACTCAAGGGCCTTTACTTTAAATACATCATCATGACAATACTGAGCACAGAAAAATAACAGCCTACAGAAAGAACAGCATTTGCACTTGTACACAAGTGTTACTAAGAAGTAGCCCATTACATAGCAAAAGCTGAAACCAGCTTCTTATTACAAGGTTGTGTCTCTTTTTGAAAATCTCCCCTAAAAGGAAACAGCTTATCTAACTTTTTAATACAGTTCCTCTAAGTACTTTTAAGGTTTCCTTTTTCCCATTGGGTTTCTTTTTTAAAAAGGTTACAAAGTGGTAAAAAAATTTTGAAATTAAGGTACTGAAAAAATATTCTTGCTGTTGGCCTTTTAAAATTCAAAAGAAGTTAGAGGGTCAGTGTTCACCTGCTTTCTGCAATGTATTGTCCAGTACTATAAAGTCTTAAAGTAAGTATCTAGAATTTGTTGTAATACTCAAAAGGCTAACATCACAAATTCAAATAATGATGCAATTTGAATTCGTCATACAGCTTTATATCAATACTACTTCATCTAGCCCTCCAATCTTAACATTATTTACTGTCCTGTATTTTCAGTGGAGAGATCTTAAAAAAAACAACAACCCAACAACCAACCACAGACTGAACCTCCACTTTTGCCTCTTTCATTCTTGTGTCCAGACAACTAGAAAGCCAGGTCTGGGGTTACCTTTTGTTACCTAGCTAAGATTCCTACAGCTGCACTCTCATACAGCCAAAGCACATTAGCTAGAAGAAGGAGGAGCATTAGTAAGACCATTTATTAAAATATATCCAGAATAATATACAGAAGACTAACAGTAGACTAACAAACCAACAGACAAAGCAAGACTTTCCTTGTAATTTTAAAAAGCATTAGTTTAGTTATGTTGAAAGCATTCAGTTAAAGTGCTGCAGAAGGGCTTGATGAATGGTTCTTTTTAATGCACATAAAAGCAGCCAAAGTAAAACCATAGAAGTATAGAAGGCCGAAGTAAATGTACCAGCATTTAAGCTGGAATTAGTTAAAACTGTTAATGACACAAACTCATTAAATCAGTTAGGAAACTCACTGAAGATTACACCATCTCAGAAGACGTGTTTATCCTAATAAGCAACTGCTTGCTTGAGAACTGCTTACCCTACAAAAGCATTAACTGTTTAGGCATTTTGTGCCACAGCACCTGAAATCAAAGGCAATCTCAAACATCTAATTCACTTTCTAGAACATCAAATTCTGGCTTGAATATTTGGTGGATTAATACATTTTATAGACGAAGATTTTTCTGTTATTTCATCTAGACTACTGAACAGCATGGATAAAATTATTTAAGTTTATTCAGTTTATCCAGCCTTCACAAAGTCAAGTTAGCTACCACTGAAATCTTATAAAGTGAGCTAAACATGCCAAACAAGAAGTGTAAGGCACAAAAAAAAAAATCTTACAGTGCTGCAGAGGGATTACTGTTCAGCAAATAAAAGCAGAAAGAATTCCTGGAAGAAATTAGAGTTAAGGAGGGATTTGAGAAAGGAGAAAGGAGGTGCTTGGCATATTAAACAGTATAAGACTTTTCTAAGCACACAGGATAACATGAATGAAAACGCAAAGCCAAGGCCTTGTCTAGACTAGGATTTAAACATGTGTTTGAATGTTTTGTTAGTACATGTTATCAGATAACTTCCAAAATACTACTCTACATGTATAAGTGTAGACATTCGGAGTTAAAACCGAGTATTTCCCAATGATCATTACATTTAAAAAACCCAACAAAGAAAATAAGCACACTTAGTTAACACAAGTGGGGAGAAATCCATAGACAAGATCTCCAGAAGCATCAAGAGACCATGGCAAAAGATAAGATGAAAAGCTACCAAAGAAGCCCGACAAGAACTGCCAACAGCTGCATTAGAGTAAATGGCCCAGCCTACACTTGGCGACATCCGCCGCACAAAGGAAAAAAATCTAATCTTGTGGCCAAAATGGAACACACTCCACATCTACGCAAGCATTTCAATGTGTCGGAGTATCGTTAACTACGTTACAGAATACGGTTTCCAAGGGCCAGGCAGTAATTTTGACGAAGCCATTGCAGCCTGAAGCCTCGCCTGTGCGGATGCCGCTCAGCTTTGCTACAGTTACGGCTCCCTGTGGCACAACCCCCACTCCCACGGCTCTCCCACAATGCACCCGCGCCCGGAGCTGCGGGGGGACCGGGCACCCCCCAGGGTACTGCTTGGCGCTGGACTGCAGCCCAGCGGCACCTCCCGCGGCTGATACAGGGCAGCCCGGACAGCGAGGGGACGCCGAGGCCCTGCTGATCCCGCCTCGGCGGGCACCACTGGGTTAATCGGCGGGGAAAAGCAGGAGGTAGCGGGGAAAGCGCAAGCCGGAGGCAACAGTGAAGCAATGGGCTGTGCCAGGAATCTCGAGAGAAACGAGAAGGGCCCGAGACGCGAAGGGGAGAGGCGGTGGGCGGGCCGGCCCCGCCGGGGCCAGAGCCCACGGGGCAGCACCAGGCACGGCTGGGTGAGGCGGGGGTCAGACCCCCACCCCAGCCCTAAGCGACGGCCACCACCACCAATCTGCACCAAAGGCACAGCCCTACAGACCAACGCCTAAGCCAATGGGAAGGCGAGAGCAGGGAATAGGGCCGGGCCGCGCTGAGGCAGGCTGCGGCTTGCAGCCTCCGGAGCGAAACGACCAAAAGAACAGAGGAACCAGCGGAAGCCGCCGGGCCCGGGACGCTGCACTCTCAGCCGCTTACCTCCCTTTCACTGTCACACCGCGTTTCCGTATGAGCTCGTCCAGAGAGAGGTCCGCCATCTTGTCGCGGGGCCCAACGATAGAACGCAGCGAGAGAGACCCGGATATGACATCATACCACTTCCGCCACACGCCCCGCCTCCAAGGGCACGTCGGGCCCCGGCCCCGCCCAATACGCGACGGACAGGGGCGGGAGGGCGTCCCACAACCCCAAGCGGCGCACGGCCGGTCATTTACATACGGCGCCCGCTGTCTCCCGCTGAGGTTCGGCCCGCGGCAGGGGCTACGCGGCGGAGAAGGAGGAGAAGACCGGGCAGGGTGATGGGAATCACGGCAAACTGACGTGCGAGGCGAGACGGCTCGGGAAGCCGCTCGCCCTGACCTGTAGAGCTAGCGCTTAGGGTTCTCCCAACGGGGCGGGGAGATCGCAGTTATGCCTTAAACTTATGAGTAAGGAAAATAACGACCCGGGGTGACGCCCGGGTCCTCACTGCGAATGTGAGAGGAATTTTTGCGCGGGTACAGGTCGTCCCCGGGTGGCCCGCTTACTTCGCGGGATGCCCGGGTGCAGTGATCTGCCCGACCCATACGTACAGCGCGTCGTAATGACAGAATGAGGGCGGGGGAGAGGCCCCGGGGGCGGGCGTCGCTGTAAACCTCGGTGCTGTCCGGCGGAGCCCCGCACCGGTGTTTTTTCCATTATAACGAAAAAAAAAAAATGTTTACTGTTTTTCCCCCCTCATCCGCTCCATCCAGTTCATGCTGAGCTGTCCGAAGGGTCTTCACGAGGCTTAGAACCACATTGCCAATCAGGAAGCGATTACTTTTTTATGGTTTTGTGGGAGGGATTACGCCATTTAAAATCAGACTCAGAAAAAAAAAAAAAACCAAAAAAAAACAGTGAAAGGGAAAAGTCACCTTTGCGCAGGCCTGGGCAGAGGTGAGCTTTTCCAGTGTTGCCTCCTGCCCTGTCCCGACTCACCGGCTGCGACGTCTGTACCTGCGGGACGGTGACTCTGGGTTTTGCCAGGGCCACCCCCAAAACGCCCTTTGCAGCACAGCACACCCCCCGGGTCCTGCAGCGCGGGGTTTCTTCCTGTTATTGGAAGACACGTTGCCGAAATGCAGAGTTTTGCTTCGGCCCACAGCTCCATCTCTCCTCTGGCAGCTGTCAGGAGGCTTCACTTGTGCGGTTCCCCGCCCTGCTCGCTTCCCACCACCTCCCCGACACCTGCGCCACAGTGACCCCGAGGCATCACAGCGTACGCAGCAGCGTCTGCCGTGTTGTTGCTGTGGAGCTGTGGGGACATCCATGCGCCATGCAAGATCCACGGGGAAGGTCTTGGACTTCAGGAGAGCAGGAGCTGCCAGCCAGGGCTGGGGACAAATGCAGAGGAGACAGGTGAACTGAGGCAGCTACTCACAGCCACGTGAGCTCAGGATCCCACAGGTTCTGAGATTTTCTCTCAGGAACGTTTCAAGCCTTCATGAGCCTACAGTCATAGCAGTAGTGATGCCGGGTCACTGCTTAGTTGTCCGTGGTACTTGATCCGGATCAAGGGTGCCACATGACTGCATCACTGTCAAAATAGGGTACACAGTAGTAAGTTTATGCCCTTTCAGTTCAGATTGAAGACACGGAGACATTAATATTTTTGAAGGTTATATCAAGAATGTCGATTTATGTGAGTTCTGTTTGAGTTCTTGTTTATGTCTATAAACTGAGATTTTTGTTACCCTGGTAATTATTTATTAAGACGCATGTTTCCTAGGAGTAAGAAATTTCAGTTTAAAAAATAAGAACAGAAAAAGTATCAAAATTGGGATTTAGCTTGGACTAAGCCAAATATTTGCAGAAATAACAGGATATTCTTATTATCGTAAATCTTAAACTATTAGCAAATACACAGGACTGGCCATCTTCTAGTTTCTTTGCTGGAGGACTTCAGGTTTTTTGTGTTTGATGTAACTGGACCTGTTGTGGTGGTGGTGCTTTTTGTCTGAGTTAGACGTGGTGTGTGCCAGTAGGAAAGGCCCATTCTCAGAGCCTGGTTGTTGGCTGTGAGGGAGTTCGCTTGTCCTGCTGGGTCAGAGGAGGTACGGGCTCACTTCCTCCTGAGCCTCCCGAGCGTCTGACAGCCCATCGTGATAATGCATTTGTCCTGGCACCAAACGTTGGCACTGCCACTGTGAGCCTCTCACTAAGTATTTTGAAATTCTTAGTTTTCTTACTGATTAGGCTTCTATTTTTCAAAGTTATGTGTTGAGTTACTTGACATACCTGTTCAAAAGAAAGTTAGGTTTGCTTTTTAGTGCTGTTCTTTTACTTTCAATTTCAGTTGCCTTTTCTGCAGCAAGCAGCCCTTTTGATTTCTTTAGTAGTGTTTAGACTTTGCTCTTCTTGAGCTGAATATATTTTTCCTTTTAGCCCAGATTTTGAATCCTTTGTGGGTGGGCTGCAGGAATGTTAGGAAACAGGTTCCCAAATGAGCTTGGCAAATTGAAGAATTGTCTGAGGAGGTAAGGTGCTCCTCAGTTAGGACAGATGTAAAAGGCTGTATCCTGATTCTCAGTTGCACTGGTTTGTCTGAGAAGAGGAATTTCTGCATGGAGTTACCTCTTATAATGCAGATACCTACCAGCCATTTCATTTTTCAGAAGCTGGCAAAAGACCGTATTTGTTCTTGATAACCTGTTGGTTATTGCTTGTGTGTCATTTAAACCATGACAGTTCTTTTATTTTTTGTGTGTGTGTGAGTATTTATTCTACGTTCTAGTCGTAGATGGGACCTTTTTCATCTCAGGGTAGTTCCCTGGCTGTAATTGCATGGCTCTTTCACTTAACAGTGTTTGTGCTGTCTTAGATGTTTCCAGCTACCAGCACCCTCCAGCAATGCCTGTTGCAGCTGCTCACCATGTGGGAAGCATCTCGGCAGTCTGCCATGAATTCCCTCAATATTGAGAGACATGCTCAAGTACATTAACCACACGTGCTGCCTGCCTCAAGATAGGTACGAGTTCTCTTGCCAGCCAGAGGTCTCTTTCTTCTGGTTGATATTTGCCCACTCAAAGTCTATTTTTTATTAGTATTAGACTCCATGACTGACATGGGCTTATACTCCAGGCTTGAAAGCACAGCCTTGATTCACAACTGAGGTGAAAGCAAACAATAGGAATTAAGCTGTAGGTTGTTTAGAATGTTAGAAATGTTTAGGAAGTTTGGTCTGGTCCCTGCCCCACACAGTCCTCACTGTCCTCAGAGTATATGGTCAAGAATGTCATCCAAACCAGTCCAAAAAGAGGAGTTTTAGTCCTCTTCATTTCCTAAACCACCGTTGCCTCTGCTTTACCACTGGGTGTTGGGGGCATCCTAAATCAAGGAATGACTCAGGAATAAAAGCTTGTGATGTAGTGGTTTCCATGCATGTGGAATTTGAATTCCACCAGTGTTTTGCATTTGTATTTAGCATATTTTCTGCACTGTTAATTCTAGCTAAATAGTGCCTGGTGAATATGTAAGTTGTCAAATGTCAGTTAAATTTGTCAATTAATTCATACCACAGATATTTGCTCTGAAGCACATCTAACCTTAATATAAAATAGTACATATTCATCAACAACAGTGCTGATGTTGTTACTCTTTTAGTCCTTTAAAGAATACATGAGAGCTGATAAACTATGCATCTTTCACACACTTTATCATTTTGATCCTTTGGTTTGTGTGCATTTGGGTGGGGGAGGCAAAGGGGAGAAGAAAAGAAATGTCGATCCATTCACTTCTCTTGCTCATGGGTGAAGATTCTCCCGGTCTGTTATCCTGTGTTGTGAGAATTTAGTTTTAGTATCCCAGGACAAGCCCCTGTAGAAAGCTAAACTGCTTGAAACTTCTCAGCTTCAGCTATGAAAGGTCTCAAGCACTGCTCCTCAGGTCAATAGCCCAGTTGTTCCTTGAAACTACCCATGTTGGTATTTGAGTGATCTTAATTCTCACAGGAGTTTGTCATAAGGGATAATGAATTTCTAAGGAAATGTTTTGGTGAAATAGCTATTTGCCTTTCCAGGTACTATTCTGGAAAATGAGAATGTGAGATCTCACATAACCACCAAAGTTCAGTTATCACTTTCAAAAGTGAAAAACCTTCTAAAGAGAAGTTAGCAATATAGTCCAAGTATTAATTATATGTTGTTGAAAGATCTGGGAAAATACAGTGGTGCTGTGGTGGTGATTGTGTTTGGGGTCAGGCTTTCTCCATCTGAGGGGAAGGCACAGTGGTAAGGCTGGAGCTTTTAGTCTGGCTATGAATTATGTGCTCTGGAATCACCTGTAGGTTTTTGTCTCATCCCATGTGGTGGGTGGGTTATGGTGGGAGTGAATCTTTTGAATTCCCCAAGAGCCTGCCTGCTGGCGGAAGAGCCTATCTCTGCTCATCAGACCTGCAGGGCATGTGGAGTCATGGCAATGACTGAGGAACAGTTTTGTTGGTAGCTTTATTGACTGATAACTTTAGTGAGTGAATGGAGACAATTTGGCAACAATCAGCTGATAAGCTTCAGATAGTGAATAAAGGCACTTTGAAACGATCAACTGATAACGAGGAATTAAAGGCACTTTGGCGAGGAGACCATTTTCCTAACAACCTGTCAATGATCAACTTATTGCAGTTTGTACAGAACTTACATACATGAATATATGTAAGAAAGAGAGAGAGAAAGCAGAAAGAAGAAAGAGAAAATACAAAAGAAGGGGATACGAAAAGGGGAATCACCACCCTTGGATCCACATTGTCGTTGTCATAGAGTAGTGTCGCGGTACAGATGGACATGACAATGTTTTTGCAGCAAAAAGCCATCTTTATTGCTCCTCTCATATCTTATATACTTTATCCTTTTATCCATACATCATCCTCATTGGTTACATAGTTGTTTGTCTATTACTTTATTGGCTACTTTTCTGGAAATCCCCCACAGTTTGGGTATCTGACAACCACAGTATTTTTCTTCTTTCTCCTTCTATTCAGTTCCTTTCTCAGGCTGACACAGCTCTGGGACTTTTCCAGCTCCTCAGGGGTACACATCAAGATGGTCAAGGTCAAACTGTTTGCTCTCTGTCAGGCATTCGGCAGACCCGCTGCCTC